GTGGGGGGGGACTTCACGATATAGGGAAGTGAGCCAGGCGAACAGGGAAGCAGCCTGAAGGCGGTGGAAGTGTGAATACTTCCCTGTCCCCCAACCCCAACCCTCTTTTGGCCCTTGGGATTCCACCAGCCCCCCACCCTTAAAGGGTCCCAGCCTGCTTTCAAGCTGGTAGCCTAGGGAGCTGCCGAAGGTGAAACGGCCTGGTGACCAGAGGGCTGCTGGCCTCTAAGAAAACCTCATCCTCCTGAAGAAGGGGACAGGGCTGGAAAAATCCCAGCGGGACCCAAATCCCCTGGAGGCAGATAAAGGGACTGGTGGACGTGCAAACTTGCACCTGAGCCTCTGGGGGAGGGGCTGGAACCAGAGCCCTTGGGAGGAAGCAGCTGTTAACTGGGAGGGAGGAAACAGTCTGCCCACCCCTTCTGCTCCATGCTCCTTCATACCCTTCCTCAAATACCTTACACAGGAACCTTCGCCAGAGAGCCACAAACTGTAAGGTTCTGACTGTAGAAGATGGGGAAACTGAGGCCTATAACCAGGTCTGAGAAAGAATGAGAGCCAAGTGCCTGAATTACCTGACATCTCTTAACACCTTGATTTTCAGGCCAAGCCCTTCTCTGCTAGCCACAGGTCATCTGGGTGGCCTCCTCCTAACCCTGTCCTCCTAGACAGCACCCCCGCCCCATTCCTCTTTCCCAGATACAGACAGGGAAATGAACGCAGGGCCTGGCAGGAACTGCTTCATGCAGGTCCCACAGGATGTGTGGCACCAAACCCCGCAGGCAGTGTCATACCCTACCCCAGCCCTCCCTGGGTCGGGGAGTTGGAGGACTGGCCTATCAGGTGGCTTCCTTCCTCCAAAGTGAGAGGGTAGGGAGGGAAAGGGAGGGAACCTTTGTCGGATCTCGCCCTGAATTTGGAGAATGTGGGGCCAGATTCCAAGCGGTCTCCCTGGTGACTCTGGGGCAAGAATGCATCTGGAACAGGAAGCCCAGCCAGCAGGAATGTGGTGTCTCAGCACAAGGCTTTGTGTGGGCTCAAAAGAACCCCCACCCCCACAACACACACCCAAGCACACTCCCTTCCGGGTGGTGGGCTCCTGCACTGCCTGACCCCCATGTAGATGTGCCTGAGCCCTCATCGTGCTGGGGATCCCTCGCTGGGGGCCACACCCTTCCCTCCCATCTGCCTTCTGCGGCCCTGACTGGAGCGGCCCTGACTGGAGCAGCCCTGTGCCCAGAGCACAGCCACACCCTCGCTGCCCACCTGATAGGTGAGCAGCTGCCCTGAGTTCCTGAGATGCATGGTGGCTGAGCAGAGTCATTCCCTAGGCTGAGGCCAGGGATGCCCAGCTGCCCCTCCACCTCCATGGGGAAGTCCCAGCTTCAGGAAGCACATTTCCTGCAAGCTCAGCACTGAGCTATGCCCTGTGGGAAGAAGGGCAAAGCCAATAAGGCAGAGGGCAGCTCCTGCCAGAGCAGAGATGGCTGGGAGCCATGGTGACCTCCCTGTGGCCTGGAAGGCAGCCTCTGGTGATGGAGGGGCAAGAGCCCCCACCCCACACCAGAAATTCAGAATTCAGACTCCAGGTTCCTTCCCCAGCATGCACACCCCCTTACCAAGTAGGAGTCCTCGGACCAGTCACTTTCCTCCCTGTCCACAGTTTCTTCATTTACAGAACAAGGAATACCTACCTCTGTAGGTAGGTGATTAAAGCACTCAAAATTCCGTGCTGTTAGAATTATCTACCTTTGTGGGGCGCCTGGGTGTCTCAGTCAGTTAAGCATCCAACTTCAGCTCAGGTCATGATCTCACAGCTCGTGAGTTCGAGCCCTGAGTCGGGCTCTGTGCTGACAGCTGGGAGCCTGGAGCCTGCTTCGGATTCTGTGTCTCCTTCTCTCTCTGCCCCTCTCCCACTCACGCTCTCTCTTTCTCTCTTTCAAAAATAAATAAACATGAAAAAATTATTTTAAAAAAAGAATTATCTACCTTTGTAACTTAGGAATGTCACCTTCCCATCTCTAACTGAAGGTGGCTATCTTAGATGCTCTCCTTGGGAACCTCTAACTTGAATCTGTCATCATTTCTGAGGTTATTCCCCAAAATGCCAAAAAGAAAAAAAAAAGTAGAGGGTACAGTACTGGATAAATTGCAGTCATATAATTAGGTGGTCTCTCAGGGAGCCCAGGGGGTTCAGTCAGTTGAGCATCCGACTTTAGTTCAGGTCATGATCTCACAGTTTGTGAGTTCCAGCCCCGCATCAGGCTCGCTGCTGTCAAGACAGAACCCACTCTGTCCCCCTCTCTCTGCCCCTCCCCCACCTGCACTCTCTCTCTTTCTCTCTCAAAAATAAAGGTTAAAAAAATTAGGTGATGTCTCCCCCCCACCACTGGGACACAGGGGGTGGGTGCTCACAGCTGGCTTGGGGTGGGGTTGAGGGCAGGGGTAAAAGATCAAAGACTGCAACCTTCTTTGACAAATGGGTTTGACTAATAACTCCCATCTCCCAAAGAAGTTTGCCCCCAAGCTCGAGCTGGCTGTGTAGCCGCAAAGCACTCTGAAACCCTCCAACCCCTGGGAGGAGAGCTGCCTGCCACAACTAAAGAGGTGGATTTCAGCCTGAACCCGTCCAGCCTTCGAAAGGCATTCAACAACTCCCAGGCATACCCATTTCACAAGGGTCTTCATTCCCTACTTCTTCTCCTCTACTCCTCAGAACACCGCTGGCCCACCATGTTCATATTCCAACCCACCCTTTCCAACCTGTCGCTTGCCTGCTTAAAATTTTCAAAATGTTCCCTGAGCCTCAAGGTGAAGTCAAACCATTTCTTCTGGCATTCAAGGCTCCCATCTCCCTTTCCAGTCTTCTCTTGGTACCTCCTTCAGCCGCTGCCCTAAACTGAGCATTCCACCTGCACTCACCCCTGGCAGTGGACGTTTGTCTCCTCCACCTGCCCAAGTCCTGTTCGTCCTTACACACAGATGGTCTCTGCTCTGTTCTCACAGGGCATAGGGCATGCCTGAATGTGCCGCATCCCCTCTTAGCACTTATTGCCATGTAGTATTATTTCATTCATGCCAGCTCAGTGGCTGCCACTTGACTATTACCTTCAGGAGTAGATTTCTGTATTCTCACTGTGCCAGGACCCAAGTGTTTCCAGAGGGGTGAATCCCCCTTTTGCAGGCATTCTCCCCGGCCATGGGCTACATCTGACACTAGGTGGCGTCAAGGAGACTATCCCATTGCGGACCAAAGTTCTGGCCCCACCCACTCCTGAACCACAGAAAGCCTTGATCTTTTCTATGAAAATAAAGGCAGCCATCCAGGCAAAAGGTGAGACAGTTAAATCAAGGTGTAAATTATATCAACAGGTGCCTGAGGAGCCGACACCAACAGTCCACCGAGATTCCTTCCCAAAAGAACCAGACAGCACAAACACCCTCTGGAGCCCAGCTTTGATCTTTTCTGTGAAAATAAAGCTGAGGCTGTGGCCCATTCCTCAGGCTAACTGGGGAACAGGGTGGGTCTGGAGTACTCATGCACCTTTCTGAAATGTCTCTGAGATTAGGACTGGGGGTGGTGGGTGAATCAAGCCTAAAATCTGGTAGGGGACCACTGCCCCCTGTGTCAACTCAAACATACCTGAGGGCAGGCACACCTAACACTAGTCACCCATTATTTTTGTTTCTGGGTTTTTTGTTTGTTTGTTTGTTTGTTTGTTTGTTTTTCAAATCAACTACCACTGAAGCCAGCAGGGTCTCCCAAGGAAGGGACACACAGAGCAAGCCTGGCTTGGATGTGAGGACCTTTGGGGGGTAGGTCCTTCAGGGTGGGGCTCCTCTGGTGTATGCTTCCCAGGCAAGACTAACCTGCAGCCCAGTTCAAGGTTATTGCTGGTGATTATCTTTCTCAAGTGCATGCAGACAGCCTTGGGGGAGTTGCCCCCTCTCCTGCCTACCCAGCTCATCTGGGTAGGTCAGCTGGGCTGGCAGCATTCACCCCAAGTAGAGCGAGGGGCACCGAATGCCAGCCCAGCCAGTGCTGGTGGAGCATGAGACTGTCACTGAGCCAGGCCTGGATAGCATGGACATCTGGACCTGCCTCCTGTTTGCTGCCCGCCCTCCGGCATTCCTCCTCTTCTCCAGGCTCCGGATAAGAAACTCATTCCTCTAAAGTACCAGAGATTATCCCAGTAAAACTGGCATCTTTATAAAAGAGTCCAGGAGGGGCACCTGGCGGGCTCAGTTGATGGAGCATGCAACTCTTAATCATGGGGTTGTAAGTTAAGCCCCACACAGGGTGCAGAGATTACTTAAAAATAAAATCTTCAGGGGCGCCTGGGTGGCTCAGTCGGTTAAGCATCCAACTTCGGCTCAGGTCATGATCTCGCGGTCCGTGGGTTCGAGCCCCGCGTCGGGCTCTGTGCTGACAGCTCAGAGCCTGGAGCCTGTTTCAGATTCTGTGTCTCCCTCTTTCTCTGACCCTCCCCTGTTCATGCTCTGTCTCTCTCTGTCTCAAAAATAAATAAATGTTAAAAAAAATTAAAAAAAAATAAAAATAAATAAAATAAATAAAATCTTTAGAGGCACCTGGGTGGCTCAGTTGGTTAAGCATCTGACTCTTGGTTTCGGCTCAGGTCATGATCTCACAGTTGGTGGGATTGAGTTCTGCGTCGGGCTCTGCCAGTGCAGACCCTACTTGGGGATTCTCTGTCTCCCCCTCTCTCTCTCTCTGTGCCCTTTCCATTCATGCTGTCTCTGTCTCTGTCTCTGTCTCTCTTAAAATAAATAAACTTAAATAAATAAATAAATAAATAAATAAAATAAAAAATGCAAGCCTCTTCATTAGAGGGTGTCATGTGGTGAAGCACCTGGTAAGGTTTGGTAAGGTTTGGGGATGTGGGGAATAAAGGGGGAAAATTATGTCAATAAAAACTCTTTGCCCAGTGGTAGACAGAGTTCATCCCCAGGGGCAGAGGCAGAGAAGAAGAGGAAAGAGCTACTTTGTTTCATCCATATATGTATATTTATAGGGTTCATATGCTGAAAACTTTACAGAGTGAATACCTTTAACCTCTGACCTATCCCTCTCTTTCTACATATTTATCTCTGTATCCCAACCTGCTTAATCCCTGTTGCACAAAGATATCCAATGCAGTGCCCACCTCACACTTTGGTGTACAGCCTGTTCTACAGGAGGAAGTGAGTATCTAGCAGAGGCCTGGGATGGTGAGGCTGTCCTCATCCACAGCCCATCACAGGTCCTAGGCTCTAGCCTCACCCAGCCTGGAGGCAGGGGCCCCACCACCAACCACCACCCTTCCATGCCAACTTGCTATTGGTGCACAGGTGCCTATGCGGTCTAGAGCAGGTTGAGAACCTAGCCGGGTACTCAGGCGTGGGAGCTGAGGGCGGGGGGCGAGGAGTAGCGCTGACGGGCATGCTTCTCGCAGTACAGCTCGTCTCCGACCCAAAAGTGCCCACGCATCTTCAGGTTCAGCCCACAGTCCGCACAGGTGTAGCAGCCTGGGTGGCGGTACCGCCCCTCCTGGATGCGTACAGCCTGGTTCCTGCAGGAGCAATGCAGAGGGGAGAACCATTAGCCTGGGGGAGAGTGGGGGGTGGGGGAAGGCAGGGTGATAGCATGATGCTGCCATTCTCATTCCCGGGGAGCCTAGTTCCTGGCCAGTTCCAGGCCCACAGTCAGGACCTGGAAAGATCCCCAAATCTCAGACACTGGACTCCCCAAGCCTTCCTTCAGGAATCTCACTTCAATAACCCCCAACCACCACCTCCGGGACTTCTAATTTTTTAAAAAAAGGGGGGCACCTGGGTGGCTCAGTTGGTTGGGCATCCCACTTTGGCTCAGGTCATGATCTTGTGGTTCATGAGTTTGAGCCCCATGTTGGGCTCTCTGCTGACAGCTCAGAGTCTGGAGCCTGCTTCAGATTCTGTGTCTCCCTCTCTCTCTGCCCCTCCCCCTCTAACGCTCTCTCTTTCTCTTCCTCTCTCTCTCAAAAATAAATAAACATTAAAAAAAATTTTTTTTTAAAGCTATTTCTCCTTTACACAAAGGCAAATAAACCCGTCCTGAATTATCTGGGTTGTTAATGGAGCAGTGGTCCTCTGGGTGTGGTCCCAGGTACCGGGACCATAGCACTACATCACCTGAGGACAAGTTGGAAATGCAAATGCTGGGGCCAGAGACCTCCTGAAGAGGAAACTCTGGGGTACAGGCCAGCAGTCCCTCTAACAAGTCCTCAGGGACTGTGCAGCTGCTCTTTGAGAACCACCACATACAACACTTCCCTTGTGTCTGCACGGCAGGCATGCATAGTATCCCATTCTGGAGCTGAGACAGTAAAGCCTGCAGAGGCTAAGGAATTTGCCTAAGGTGAGTCATCTGACCGTCATCATGGCATGTAAGAAATTTATGGCGGAGCGGGTGGACTTTCAACACTTTTCCAGAGAATGTGGCTGCATTACAATGCCACCCTGTGAGGAAAAATGAACCTACCTCTGGAAAAGTCATCCCTTTCCAAAGGGGGTGAGGAAGGGGCAAGAGCAAAATTTTCCAGGAGGAGGCACCGCATCTGGAGGCAGATCTCCAGAGGCCTTGAGATTATTGCAGAGAAATCAGAAGCGTCGTTTCTTACTCCTCCCAGGAGGGAGGAAGAAATCAGGGAGAAGGGGATACGGCAGGAAGAAGCCAGCAAGACATTTTAAGAAGGCTTAAAATAACCAACATAGCCCATCACAGGTCTGCTGTGGAAACACCCCTCCAGGGTCCCTGACTGGTGTTGACGCCTCCCGGGGGCATCCCGTGCCCTGCCCCGCCCCACACCGCCCTGTCAGGGTGTGCCTGCCTCCCAGGCCGTAGACACTCACACAATGTTGGTGCTGCACTTCTCACACGTGTGGAGCTTGGGCGGGGTGGCCAGGGCCCTGGAGGTGGGCAGGGAGGACTGGGGGCTCAGCGAGCTGGGCAGGAAGGCAGGTGTGCCACCTGGGAGGGGTGGGGGCAGACGGACACATCAGAGCTCGTCCACTGGCCGCGGCACCCGGGCTGTGTTTACTCACTCACACTCCGCTAGCACGGTTCCCAGGAGACTTCTAAAAAGTGCGCTTCCATGAAGACCCCTGAAGTAACACTGGGGGTGAAGGCGGGTGGGTAATGGAGGAAGGGACTGATCATGGCAGCTCCCTGGCTGAGGCTGAGTTGGCCCAAGCTGGGGCAACCTGAGGAGTGTCTGCGCGGTGCCTCCCACGTCCCGCCAAGCAGGCATGGTGATATTGATTAAAAGATGCTGCTGATAGATAGTAACAGCGCCACAACACCTTTGTAAAGTTTTCAAAGGGTTCTTATGGGCACAGTTGCATGCGAGCCTTGGAACAACACGAAGATGAAGCACAGATGTTACTGGGCGGTACGGTCCCTGTTTGCAGCCAAGGGCTCCGGGACTCCAGCGGTGAAGCCACTGACCGTCTGCACTCCCCTCACCCCGGGGCCTCTCCCGGGGCCTGCCAAGGCCTCCGGGTCATGATGCGCAAGGTCTGCTCCAAACCATTTCACCCTGACCCCAGTGAACACCCCTGGAGCTAAGTGTCAGAGTTGGAGCCAGCCACCAGATACTGTGCTGGCGAGGCTGCTGATCCCGTAGTCCTGAATGTCCCATCCTCTGCCTCCCGGAAGCCACTGCCCAGGCCAGGCTTTCTCATCTCTCCCCTGGACTAGGCCGGTGCCCCTCCAACACACACAGTACAACTGCAGCACTGACCACACCTCAGGCGCTGGGTGGGCCTGTCTGTCTGCCCTCAGCCTCCACACTCTGCACATCACTGGCCCATCAGACAGGCACAGTTAATGTCTGTCGAGCGAACAACTGAATGGCTGGCAAGAGCCCATATCTCTTATGTACTTCAGCATCTGATGCACTGCCTGGCATCATTTAACCAGCCCTTCTAGGTGAGGGCACTCCTCAGCCTGGCACGTGAGGCCAGGACTTAACCTCTGAGACCACCCTCCATGCTGCCAGGCCCCTCTGTTCTCTCTGGCTCCCACACCAAAGCCCTCCAGCTGCCAACCACTGCATGCCACAGCGCTCTCTGCCACCATCTTAAGGCCCTTTGTTAAAATCTTGATCTTTCTTCAAGGGTCAAGTCAAATCCATCTTCCTCTATGAAGCCCACCCTGGAGACCCAGCCCCCACAGGGCCCACCACCCACCTTTCTCATTCCCCCTTGGCACTTTCCTGACCCCAGCCACCACCTCTGGGTCCACCCCTACAACACCCACCAGACTGAAAGCTCCTTTAGTGCAGGGACTCCCTTGGAGCCTATTCCTATGATGAGCATTTAGGAAATATTTGTTCTGTATCATGTCCAGTCAGGGTCCAGGGGTATCCTGCAGGAATCTCCTTCCTGTACCAAGCCCCCAAGGGGCTCACCTCTCTCTTCAGCCTCCAGAGCCTCCTGCAAGAGCCGAAAGGAGCTGGACTGTCGGGGGGCCACCCGCCCCTCACGATTTTCCTGCAGCATCTTGTAGACTTCTGAATCCTCCTCCAGAAGGCGGCTTCCCCCCTCTGAGTCCACACTGCAGGGACAGGAGCGGCCAGGAGTGAGGGTTCCTTCCCGGGTATGAGGACCAGCAAGAAGGCAGGGAAAGAGTGTCCAGGGGAAGGCATTCTGAGGGAATTCAGAGGATTCAGAGGAAAGCCAAATGGGCTTAAAGTGGCCGGGGACCTCCCCCTGCCCAAATCCCTCTCTGGAAAGCCAATCTGTCTCCTGCCCCTCCCAGGCCCTCCAGGATTCCACCCCACCCTCCGGAGTCCACCGGGTACCTGAGTCTGGGACTGGAGGAGTGGGGACCCGGGGAAGGCGGCAGCACCAGCACAGCCGAGTCACCAGCCGCGGCGCGGGTGAGGCTGGCCTGTGGGACAGAGAGGCACCAGGGGAGGAGTCAGTGGCTGGAGCCTTTGGCCCGCACACCCGTCTGGGCTGCCGAGCCAAGCACGGCTGTTCCCCAGGCCCGACACCAGAGGGCCCCCGGCTCTTGCTGACCAACAGGCCCTCAGGCGCAAGGGCCCAATACACCAAATCCTACCCTCGGGGCACTAGGGAGTGTTCTGCTCATTCCCAGAAGGGGAGAGAGGCCAGCACCCAACTATGGAGGTGTGAAGTTTCTGCAAGGAGATTGGGCAAGGGGCAGAACAAGCAGAGAGGAAGAAAGCAGATGCTTTTGCAGTGAGAAGAAAACACAAAGGGATGGAGTGAAGGGGGGATGGGGCAGCACAAGGGACCTCTCTCCTACACACACTTCCTCTCCTAAGAGGGCCCCAGGGTCTGGGCTGACCAGCCTCTTCTGGCTGCCCTGGAGGTCTAATTCTGCCCCATGGAGCCTTGGGGGCCAGGCCCATTCTGGACCCACACCCCAGCAGCGGCTCCCCCTCCCCAGGTGCGTGCTATCCATCTTGGGCTCTTTTCACTTGCCGTCTACCTGGAAATCTTGCCTTCAACCTCATTGTTGCTCTGCTTTCTGGCATGCACCTCTGCACCCTCCCCTACTACCCTGCCCCCTCTCCACAGCCATCCCCCACGGAAAGGGGAACCCCAGAGACAAAAAGACAGGCCACCGTGCACTAGCTGAGGGCACATTTCCCTGGAAAGCCAGCTTTCTTCCATTTTAAAATTCAAAATCAAGGACAAGTTATGGGGTCAAATGGTAAAACTGCATGGATTTTAAAGCTAAAAACAGAAACTGCAGAGTTTTGAGAAGAAAGCCCCAGACCCTCACTCCCCCAGCCGTCTTCCCCCAGTCTACATTCCTCCTACACTTGGTGGCCTGCGGTCAACTGACAGACGGTAAGATAATTTCCTCAGGAAGGACAGTCAGCACCAGTTACTTAAGAACGACATCCCATCTCGCTGTCCTGAGCCAGCATGTGCCCTGCACAGGGGCAGCGGCTCGCAGGGAGAAATCCGCCCAGGCTCCCTTTGTAAGCCAAGTTCTCATGCCAGCCAGAGGGGTGCTGTCTTCACATCTGCTCAGCAAGGCATGTACCTACCCAGAGGTGGCAACTTCCAGTTTCCAGAAGGGTACTATGGAGGCTGGTGGTGTCCTGTGCCTTGGACTGAGCGCAGCCTCAGCCAGCTCGAAAGCCAGCAGCAAAATCATGGCCACGGCAGACACCTCATCTACACTCACCTCTAACCCCCTTCCTCCTTCCAGACCACTGTGCCCTGAGAGAGAGGAGCCCAACTCCCTTACTGGAGAAAGTTCTTCCCTCCCTCCATCCTAGTCAGCCAGGGATACCTGCCTTCACAAAAGGAACCTTTCATCTCCAAGTCCAGCAAAGCTGTCCACCTGCCCAACAAGAGCTCATCTGTGGCCAACACCCTTCAACATGTGTTCTGGGGAACACAGGGATGTTAATAAGTGAGTGGCAGGTTGGGGTGGGGGATTCCAGGAGAAATTCTATAGTTAAACAAGTTTAAACAACTAATAAAATTAAATCTATTTCTCATGGGACTTCTTAGAGTCTTTAAGGTGCTAAAAGTACACAGTGACTCCCAAGAGGGAAGTGTGGGACCCCGACACTCCCACACCATCTGACCACAGCCTCACTGGCAGACCAGAATGCAAACTTCATTGGATTAGGAATATCTGTTTATCCACCAACGCATCCCCAGAGCCTGGGAAGGGTGCCTGACACAAAGCAACTGCTCAATAAAAATTTGTTGAAGGAATGATCACGGTCCTTGGGGACAAAGAAGGGAACCTGGTGCATGGGGACTGCTTATCCAAGGTTAGATGGTAGAGGTGGGACTAACCCAAGTCTCCCTGCCACCCGGCCCAGGGCTCCTGTTTACACCACATGGGTGGTCCTCAAATCTTTGGATGCATCAGATCCCTGAAGGCTCCTTAAAACACAGACTGGTCCCCCTGTCCACACCCTCACCCCTGCATCTGATTCAGTAAGCCCAGGCTGAGGCCTGGAAATTTGCGTTTCTAACAGGTTCCAAGGTGTTGCTGCTGCTTTGGGAGACACTCCCTGTACCACCAGCATCTCCCCTTTGCCCAAGTTTGGGACACCACAAGGAAGAAGGCCAAGATGGATGGGCCCTCTCCAGCCACGCCCTGGGCTAAGCACATTCCCAACTGGTCTCAGCCCAAAGATCTCCCAGAGAAGCCCCCCCCTCACCGGGCCCAAACACGCCAGGTCTTGCTTACACACTGCTTTCCCGTCTCCCTGGCTTATCATTCTCTAATCTAAACCTACCCGGTCCTACCTCTGACGTCCAGCAAAATTCCTGACAAAGCCTTCTCAGGCCACCCAGCCCACATTCATCTCTCCCCTCCCAGAATGCCTCCTGCTTTTATAATTAAGACCACACTGTTTAGTACTTAATTGTTCCAAAACTGCTTTACATGTTTGTCTTATCTCCCCAACTGCATTTTAAATTCTTTAAAGACGGGGATCTTATTGAATGGATTTCTATGCCCACATTGCCTGGCAGGCCACCTGGTGGGCCCATAGCAGGCCACTGGGGAGCCCCTACTGTGCAGCCCCCAGTGAAGCCCACTCCTTCCTTCTCCAGAGCCCCCAGTTTCTAATTCCCTCCCCCAGCCATCTCCAAAGACTCTGCTTTCTGGAATGTAGAATCAACCGGAGGTAGGATTCCAGCAGCTGGGCCTCATCCCTTTCACCCCAAAGGCTGGACATGCCCCCCACCAACTCTGCCCCCAGCAGCTGTGGCCCAGGACTGTTGGCCGACTCAGTCCCTCACTTCCTCACCACCCCTGCCCTTAGAGAGGAGAAATGCTAAGGGAGGTGGAGGGGGGGGAAGGCTGTCACTAGTTCACAGTGGGACCTGGGAGGGGGGCATCCAGGGTAGAAGAGCAGGGAGAGGGGCAGACAGAGAGTAAGCCAAGTGCTACTTGAGGCAGAACCACAGTCCCATTGGTGGTTCTCTGGGCTGAGTCAGACAAGGAGGAAGGGGGATGGGTGATGGGAGTTGGGGGCAGGCATGGGGCTTGGAATGGGGAGGAATGTGTTCAAGAGATGCAGCCAGAGCCAGAGGGAACCATCCCAACAACAGCAGCAAAACTATTTCAGCCCTGGCCCAAGAGAAACACTCAGGAAGGGAGGAAGCTAGCAGAAGGGGGGAGGCGGCAAATGGGAGTATAAGAGATAGAAGGCCACCTGGGACTGGCAGGGCAGGGCCCCAGGCACAGGAAGTGTGGCCTACCACCACAGTGGCCTTCTGGCTCAGGAGAGGGGCATGCTTGTTGCTAAGAGATGAGGCGCTGGTTGCCCAGGTGGGACCCGCCATCTGCAGCCCAATGGGTGCCACTGGCAACCAGCCAGGACGGGAGGATCTATCCTCCCCACCAGGTATTCTCACCGGTCGACTTCTGGGGTGGCCCCCGTAGGAAAAGCGGTCAGCAGCAGCCAATCCCGGGGAATGTGCCAGGCTCTGGAAACTGAAATGGGGGAAATGGATGATGTGTGTGCCGGGCGTCCCACCCAGCCTGCCTCAGGGAAGAGGAGGGTGCCCTCAAACTCCCCTAAACCCAGTTACTCAGCCTGAGAGGCCTGGTCCAGACCCTGTGGCCGTGGCGCTCACCCCCCGGGCTCACCTGCGGCTGACAACAGTCTCTCCAGGGAGGGCCTGCGGGCTGGTGGGGGGCAGGGCAGAGAACGGGCTGCCGGGCTGGGGGCTGGAAAAGACTGGGCTGGAGCAGGAAGACCTCAGGGAGGACTGGCTGTCAGTGTGCGTCCTCACGGAGCCCTGTGGAGAGAAGGACTGAGAAGGGGGTACCCGTCCCCTACCAGCCCTGCCCCTCAGGTCTCCCCCTCATTTTGGGGTGCTGGAGTTCCCCGCAGAAGGCACCATCCTACCTGGAAGCGAGTCGCCAGCCCTTCCACAGAGCTTTCCCCATTGGTCTCCTGGGGGGAAGCAGCCCGAGACCTGAGGAGAGGGTGGGGGGGGAGGCAAGTCACAGGGGTCCTGGCCCCCCACTAACAGGATAAGGGCCACAGATTGCAGCTGTTCCCGCAAGATTCTCAAGATTAGTACAAGGTTCAAAACATTTGGACATCAGGCTGTCAAATTTCAACTTTGCCAAATTGAAAACAAACAACTATTGTTAACAACTACCATCATTTCTCAAAGGAATGGAAGGTTTAGCATCAGTATGTAGAATTTCAGCGAAAAGTTCAATAAATTCAATTTTAGTAAAAACTCCTCCTATTATCTCTTGTCTTTTTTTTTCTTTTCTGTTTTTTAAAGTTTACTTATTTATTTATTTTGAGAGGGAGGGTGCAGGCGGGGGAGGGGCAGAGAGAGGCGGGAGAGTCCCAAGCAGGATCCATAGGCACTATCAGCTTGGAGCCTGAAGTGAGGCCCCATTCTGGGCCTTCACACAGGGCTCAGACTCATGAACTGTGAGATCCTGACCTGAGCCAAAATCGAGAATCAGATGCTTAACCGACTGAGCCACACCGGTGCCCCCCCCTTTTTTTTTTTTTTTTTTGAAGTAATCTCTGTGCCCAATGTGGGGTGGGGCTCAAACTCATGACCCTGAGATGAAAAGTCACATGCTCCACTGACTGAGCCAGCCTAGAGGCCTTTTTCTTTTCCTTCCTTCCTTCCTTCCTTCCTTCCTTCCTTTCTTTCTTTCTTTCCTTTTTTTTTTTTTTAATTTCATACAGACTTTGTCACTGGTCAGCATCAGCTTGTAGATCAACTTTGGGGAAGATTGCTGATTTCACATAAATAATTCTTTATCTTTCACCCATAGAAAAACTGAAGCCTAGAGAAGGAAAGTGAGTTTCCTAAAGCCCAACAATGGCTGGGCCAGCTGCTCACTCTCCTCTGCCCAGCCAGAGGCTATTCCCCACCAGCTTTGCTGCTAATGGCTGGAATATCTTGGGGAGGATCATTCCTGGTGCCTTCTTCTTCTTCTTCTTCTTCTTCTTCTTTTTTTAATTAATTTATTCTTGAGTGAGAGAGAGAGAGAGAGAGAGAGAGAGAGAGGGAGGGAGCACGTGTGCTGCATGAGGGAGGTCAAAGAGAGAGGAAGAGAGAGAGAATCCCAAGCAGGCTCCACACTGTCAGTGGAGAGCCTGATGTAGGGCTTGAACTCACCAACTGTGACATCATGATCTGAACCAAAATCAAGAGTCAGATGCTTAACCAACTGAGGCACCCAGGTGCTCCATGGTCCCTTCTAAACATTTCTCCGTAAAACAAAGGGTGGAGCCAGCCCCCCTTCCTGCAGGACCTGGAGAGCCAGGGCAACAAGCAGGCCCAGCTTTCCACCAATCACCAAGGCAGCCAGCAAGAGAAGAACCCCAGGAGACCCCCTTCAAAGCCCTTCCCACTGGAGCCTTGAACAGGAGGACATTGGAGGGCTGGTACTAGCTGAGGGTGGAGAAAGAGCCTGCCATGTCCCAATCCCACTATACCGATCCTGGTTGTCTGGCCACTTCTAGAGAGGTCAACAAGAACCTCAGTCACCACACACACCAGCCTCAGCCTCCCCAGGGAGGGGTGTGGGATCAGAGTGAAGGGAGCTTGGGCCTTGGCTCCAGTCTAGAGCACTGCTTCCTGCCACAGAGCTCTGGGTGCTCAAGAGGCTTCCTGAGGTGGGGAAGACTAGGAGGGTTTAGGAGCAGGCCGGGCAAGGGAAAGAAGAGGCAGAGAGTCTTGACCTGCCCAACATGGAGCTGGAGGCTTGGAGGGACTCGGCCAGGCCCACTCCCTGACGGGACTGGATCCCTCTAAGAGGGACCTGAGAGGAAATGGTGGTGTCAGCAGCTCCCTGTCCCTCCCCCACCCGACTCTGCAGTCTCTTGTAGATTTTGGTCCCCTTCCCAGCTGCCATGAGGTACTACTCTCCACCCTCCTCGTCTGGGTCCCACTCCTGCAAACACTCATGAGTCTGAGTGGCATGAGGGAGTCACTAAAGGGGCCGGGACATCATGGGAGCCAGCTTCTACAGCACTGTGGGATGGTAGAGGTGAAGAGAGGGCATGGAGCCAGGGCCCAGAGAGAGCCCAGTGGGGAAGGGGGGGGGGTGGGCAGAGAGGCAGGAGGTATCTGACTCAAGTTCAAGGCCCGCCCAGAGGGTTCTCCTGGCTGGGGGATCTTCCAGCATTCCTTCACTGTGACTCACTATGATGCCCCACCCCAGGGAGCCACCTGTTCCCCTCCCCAACCCAGGCTTCTGGACTGAAAACCCAAGCCCAGGAATCTGCCTTCACCAACACAGCCTGGAGAGGCAAAGGGGAAGGACAGAGGGGTTCTTTGGGGGAATGAGCCTCCAAACTCCTCAACCTACTCCCCAGGACATGAACAAAGGCCATCCCCTCTTGGAGGCAGGGGCCCAGGAGACCCAGCCTAAGGCACACCTTTCCCCTCTTCAACCCACTTCATGCCCACACCCTGTGCCCTGCACACTTGGGAACCAGTCAAACCCGGGCATCCAGGTGGCTGATGCCAGCCTGCCCTGCCCATGGCTACATGCCCAGCTAGGTACAGGGACACCCCTCAGCCCACTCTAGACCATCTAAAGATGAGCCAAAAGGGCCCAGGAAGGCCGGGCTGGGACTAAGAACAGGGGGTGAGGGCAGCCACTGTGCAGCGGGCTGGTGAGGGGAAGAGAATGCTGGCAGGCCCAGCAGTGGTGGAGGGCCTACCGGTCTAGCTGCAGCCTCAGGGGTGAGGGGCTCTGGCGGATCTTGCTCTGGGCCTCAGCATGAAGCATACCCTCAGCACTCTCCCCGTTGATGGCCACAATAATGTCTCCAGGCCGGAGGTCAGCAGCCTCAGCCTTGCTCCTCTCAGTTACCTGGAGGGGATGAGAAGCAAGTGGTCTGAAGCACCCCTGCTCAGACAGTGATGACATTCATGTAGGGATGGAGGAGAGGGGATTTCTCTCTGTCCTGCCCAAGAAACACAGAACCTGGTTTGAACCAGACTGGCCTGTGTCCCCCTTTGTCTCTCTGCACAGCAGTGTCTGCCCAGCTTATCAGCTAATCCCCTCCAAAAGCTGGAGTGGAACCCCACCCCCCACCCCAGCACTGACACTCTAACAGGGGCCTCCAGAAGAAATGGCAGAGTTTCAGGGACTGTGCTTGGAAATACTTTTGGATAGAGAGCCCTGCCCGTGCAAATCACACCATGCAGGTGGCTGCCTGCACACAGGCCTTCTGCATGAATGCTCCCTGGCCTGGGCCTGGGTCAAGAGGAAACTGCCAAGAACTTGGGGCTCCTGTTCTCGTAACCTCCCAAAATGGCTGCCAGCAGGTATGGGGTTGGTGAGCAAGGAGAAAAGAGCAGGCCCTGTACTTGGACCAGCTCCCTTTCACTCCCTAGTAGTCTGCTCCTGAAGTGGTCACCACATCCCCACGGCAACAGGGCCCAGGAGCCTGGTCCTCCCCAGGCTAACACTCCCAGAAGCAGGCCTTCTGGATCCAGAATTAAAAAAGAAAGGTGCCTGTGGGGACCAGGTAGACAGGGTAGACCCTAACTCTGGCGGTACCGCCTTAGCTCCTGGAATTAGCCCTTACCTTGGTCACCATGATAGGTGTGTGGAAATCCCTGCCCCCGGTGATCCGGAAGCCCCAGGGCCCTGGCCCCACCACATCCACTGTTAGGGCCATATCTGAGGAAGAAGGGATGGAGACACTGTAAGGTGATGGAAGAGGTAAAAGAGAGGGGATGACAGGTCCAGGGAGCAGCCAGTCAGGGGCTGGGCGGGTGAAGGGGAGGGTAGAGGAAGTGACTAACTCCCTCCCTCCCCCCCCCCCTCCAGTTTCACTTCCCCCGCCCTGGGAAGCCGTGACTCTGAGTTCTCCCTTCACCACCACCATCTTCAGCAAAGCAACTCCCCAAAGGCAGGCTGTTAGGGTGCCTCACAGGGCCTTTTGCCGCAGAACAGGCGGCAGGGGCTAGCAGGTGGTAGGAGATGTCATGGTTTCCTGCCTCTCCCCCTCCCCCACCACAAGGTTAAGTCCCACCAGTGCTGGCTTCCGGTCCCCAAAACTGACTGCACAAGGTACTTCCTCCCCACTCTGGGGGAGGGCAGCACTCTGGGAACAGGAGTGATAGCAAACAAGGGGGTGATGCCACCACATACTCTTCAAGTAGTTGGCTGGATGGGGACTGGGCCAAGGTCTTCAGAGGGGCCTCCTGGCTGCCTGCCTGGCCCCTGGCGATGTGGTCCAGATAGGCAAGACTGGGCTTCCCACCTCCTCCAGGGGCCTGCTGCCCTCTGAACAGCCCCGGCCAGGAGGACGGGCTCATCTGCCAAGTTGGGCACACCCACCCCCTGGCAGTGGCCAGCAGGTTGAGCTGATTGATGCTGCCTGCTAGCTGGGGCCACAGGCCTCCCATCCACTGCCCCCTCCGCTGGGCAAGGGAGTGTCCTTGCACACCAAGCCCTTGTAGGATTTCCTGAGCCTCTAGTTATGGAGCTGGGAGCCAACCCAGGCAGGAAGCTGCAATGCCAGCCTGGGCCACCACCCTGCCCAGCACCCACCCTGGGGCTGCCCCTGGGGAGGCCCAGTGACTGCAAGTGCTGCCAATCAACATCAAAGACACTAGGGCCACTTCCCGTGTTTAGGAACCTGGGCAGAGGACGCCCAAGCAAGAGGAGCTGTCTGCCCTCTCCCCAGTCCTTGGCTTCCCCTTTTGCTCCGGACTAGCCCCTGTCCCTGCCTAGGTCCCTAGGTTGGCGCTGGCGGTTCATAGACGCTTTGGAGTCTCAGACCTTTGAGCCTGCCTGTGGACTCCGCGCCCGGGGCCCCGGGGAGGTGCCCAGCCCGTCGGCCCGGCTCTCCCAGTTCTGGCACCTTCTGTGCTCCGAGGCCAAAGTACCCACGGGCCGGGGGCTGGAGGAGGAGCGCCCGGGACCAGGAAAGCTCAGCACGCGGGGCGCACCAGCCTCTAGGGAGGCTGCAGGCCGTGGGCGGAGGAAAGAGCCGAGGCTCTGAGAGCTGCGCAGAGGGGACGCGGCGCGCAGAGCTGCGAGGTCCCCGGAGCCGGGAAGCTCGTCGGCCGTGCGGACGGTGCGCAGGTGGGCGCGCTCACCTGGCTCCCGCTCACCTGGCTCGCTCTCACTCGTCGGGCTGGGAGGCCAGGCCCGGTAGGGAAGGGAGGGGAAGGAGGGAAGGTGTGGAGACACCGCCGCTCCCGCTGCCGCCGCTGCCGCCGTCTGCCCGACTCTGGGGAGAGCCCGCCCGGGGCTCCAGGACCTGCCTCCGCCCATGTGATCCCGGAGCCGCCCCTGCCGCCGCCCCTGGCCGGGGAGGACGCCTCCTCCGCGCAGCCCAGCCCCGGCGCTGCCACCTGGCCCGCGCCCCGCGGGGGGTGTGCGGGTGGGGGGAGGGTCTCTCCCTAGAGCCCCCTGAAGGCTGCGGTCGTCGTCCCCGAGGTGCCCTTCTCCTCCCGACTGCCCCCTGAGGGTGCCGCGGAGGCGTTCCGGTGACGGGTCGCGAGCCCCACTTCACAAACAGCTGAGACTGGCGCCCCCCCCCCCGAAGCTCCCCCAGGCCGGTGGCGCCCACCCGCCTTCGAAGGGCCCCTCGAGCACCCCCACACCCGGGGCTGGGGCGGGGCAGGGCCGGCTGGGTATGTCTGCGGTCCGCCTGGCATCTCCGCCCACTCCGGGCTCCGACACAGGCGCGGATGCAGCCCCGACACCCACAGATCTCCAGCCCCGGCCGCCCCTCGGACCTCTTCAACTCCGTTCCCCAACGGCCGGCGCCCCGGCTAGTCGGTGGTGCAGACTGCTGGGGTTTTCGGGCTGCTCAGAGCTTCCCTGTTTGAGATGCTTCTTAAGCCTGCTCCGCTCAGGGAGACCTTCCAGGCCCAAAAGATGGAGAGACTGCTGGCTGGAGGGCGCTGGGCACTCTCCCGGGCTGATGCTCTTTCCGTTCCTAGCTGCCCTCCCCTCACGCTCTCTGCTGCCCCCCCTGGGGTGGGCCAGCCCCAACAGTCACCACTGGCCCTCGCTGCCCATGTGGCCAGCCCTCTGCCAACCACCTGGAACCCAGGCTCTAGGGCTCTGGAGAGGACAGCCGAAGAAAGGCCCCAGGCACCAGCTCAGTACCATCTGGCAAATGGTTCCCCAGAGCCATACCTGGCAACCCTCACCCTGGAGACCTCGGGGCCCACCAGAGCTGGCTCTGGCATCTTCCACCAGCCTCCAGTCTGCACTGTCTCTGTCAGGCTGGTTTGTTTTCAGGGAAGCACACCTGTGGGCACAGCTGTAACTTGCCTGCTTCAGGTATGAGTCAGTCCCTCCAGGTTCCCTCTGCAAGGAGTGCCCTCACCATCCCTCTCGCCAACCTATGCCCTGTGTCTCGTCCTCTTTGCACTCACAAACCCGGAGACTCTGGGTCTCCCTCCCACAGCCTCTGTCCTCTGTGTGCTTAAGCCACTCTCCCACCAATCACTCCTGGGCCTCCTGGAATGGCCACTTTGCCTGGTACATCTGCTCTACCTCCCCGACTAGGCTGGAAGCCCTTGAGGGAGCAGGAAGCTGCAGGACAGGCAAGCACAGCCTTGGGGTCACACAGACCTAGCCTCAAATGCATGATCTGCTTCTTATTGTGGGACTTTGGGTAATTTCCTCAGTTTCCCCACAGGTAAAGTGAGCATAATGCATACTTTAGCCTCCTGTTGCATAGACTGTCCTCTCATATAAAGCTGCTGGCGTGCAGATTCCTCTTAGGGCAGGGTGGGGGAATTGGTTCACTGCTCCATTCCCAGAGCCTAGTACAGTGCCTGGCACACAGTAGGCATTCAATAAATGTTGAATGAATATTGTTTGAAATGATTGAATGGATTAATTTCCCTTCCTTCACCCCCAGTTTGTGGCAGGGCCTCTGTTTTACACCTCTTTGTGCTCCTGACTTTGCACTGGTCTCTAGAAACATCTACAGGTTAATCTACAGGATTTCTGCCCTGTGGGCCATGCAGTCACAAAACTCATGACAAAGACAAAGTCGTCTGACCTAGGGACAAGGATCCTGTGGAACAGAAGGGAGTACTGTCCTGCTCTAAGCAACTCTGTGGCCCTGGGCAAATCTATCAGCTCACCTCTCTAATGGCATGAGCATACCCAGTGGCCTACAGCCCTTTCTGACTCTGACCCCACAGGTCCCCCTCACCCCACAGGCCTGTGATCCTCCAGTGACCTCCTGCCTCACACCAGGTCAAGGCACAGAAGTAGTCATTGTACAGGCAGGTCTGTCGTGGCAGGCAGCCCAGGGGCGTAGGGTTGGCTTGCTGGGGAGGTTTCAGGGATCTATCAAAGAGGGTGTGGATTTGGTTTCTGCCCCAGGGAAAGGAAGTCACAACCCTGCTATCTTTGATGAGGGCATCAGGGAATGTGGAGAAGCTGGGACAGGGGATGAGGAACAGGCCAGTGGGTTCCTGGAGAATAATCATTTGCACAAAATGGGCTGGACCTACCAACTTAGAAGCAGATCGCGGTGAGGACCAGGGTGGACAGAACAGATGGTGTGCACGTAGGTCTTGTTCTTCCAGCTGCTGTTTAACCAGTGTTGGGGCCCAGGCCACACCCAGGCTATGGCCCTGTCATTCACAGGTGTCCCCCACCCCCATCCCAGCAGAGCAAGGCACCAGCACCTCTTCCCACCCACAGGCCTGGAAGACAGGATTGCCAGGAAGTATATAAAGGAGGCCCAACCTGGGGCGGCCCCAGGGAAGTCCTTGGCCTCCTGCATGACCTTCCTTCTCTGGGACAAGGACTGCCTGGGCATTTGATACACTTTGTGCAGACAGGTGGCAAGAGTCATTGGACCTGACTTCACATTCATGTGGCCCAGACAACTTAATTTCTCAGCCTCGGTCTCTCGTCCTATAAAACAGAATCATATACCTGTCATTGAGACGCTTACGTCAGAGAACACACATGTAGCACCTCATGCCTTGCTCAACTCCCAGCACCTGCCAAGGACTGGAGTTTTCTTTCTTGGCAGAGCAGCCGGCCCAGACGGTGCCACTGCTGTCACCTAGCAGGATCCACCAGGCCCCAGGACTCTGAAACCTTGGGCGAGAAGAGTTGCTTCGGGTAAGCTGTGCCCCACCACTCCCAGCTTCCCGCAATTGATTGCTCAAAAACCCGAGCTCAAAGAAGAAAGTAAACAAACACACGAGAGCTTTGGTGTGGAACTGGAGCACACAGAAGGAAAACATTAGGAGCAGAAGAGCTAGAAATGTCATCTAGTCCAGCAACCCCATGGCCACTCCGGAATCAAAACAGCCTGCACACAAGGCCACATTCAGCTCCCATCTCTGGTTTCTCCCCATAATCAGGCCTTGCCCTGGGCCCTATGATGTGAGTTCTCTCTCAGCATTGCTTATCAGACTGCTCTCTGGTCCTGGGGGCTGCCCCATCCTGCCTGAGACCCGGGGGCTGAGATCTTTAGAGACAATGATGGTGCTTTTCCAGCCTCCCCTTTCACACACACACTCAACATCCCACCTGGTTCCCAGCACAGCTGACAGCAGAGAGAATTCCCACAACGCTAAGCAGGAGGAGCCCTCTCCTGCCCAGAAGGAAAAGGACTGGCAAGGTCCCTGGTATCCAGATTTATTTGACATTCTCTTTCAGAGGGGACTTGGGGGTTGGAGGAGCTGGGGAGGCTGGAGGGCAGCACATATCAGTCTTCTGGGAAAACACCTGGAATAGGCCAGTCCTCTGAGGCCCAGCCCTTCCTGGGCACTACAGCAGCAGGACGGCCCACACAGCCCAAGCCCAGGGCTTGGCAGCCTTTGGGAAGAGGGCGCCTTCAGGCAAGACCTCTTACCAGGCCTTGGGCACGAAGGAGGTGCTGTGTCCCTCTCCCACCTCACTCCCAAGCCCAGCTGGAGGCAGGAAGGCAAAGGGGGCAGCAGGTAAGCTGGACTGAAAGAGGAGGAATCTCCTCTAGGCAGAGGCGGCCTTTGGTCTCTGTTAGGTTAGGAAGCTGGTCCTTGTTAGAAGAACCCCATGGGGGTGAAGCTGGGAGCTGGTCCCTGTTAGAGGAAATGCCATAGCAGGGCGGGGTGGGGGGCTCCAGGGTCTGGTCTCAATAAGGCCTGGAAACAGTCTCCACTTCAAAGCAGACCTCTATATTTGGGGAGTGTGGTAGGGGAGGAAATAAAAAGGCTGTTGGAGGAATGTTTGTGAGTTGTGGGTGGGAAGCAGTCCAGGGGGCTTAGAGGGGGCTCCAAAGAATGGCTGCTGGAGTTGTCTGCAGATGCCAGCAGGTCAGGTCTTGGGGAAGGGAGGAGGGTGGATCTTCTCTCCCTCCTGTAAGTGCTACCGCTCCCCACCCCATCCTGGCTTGGCTCTGAGTTGCCACGGAGACCACCACTCAAACCGGAGCTACATAATTTCCAGGGAATGTCCCAAATTTCTGGGTCCTCCGGGAGACACCTGAAAGAGAAAAAGAGAAAAGGAATTCCCTAAACTTCTTTATTTAGTAGGAATGTGGGGGTGTGGGACCTTCTCCCTACTGGCAGTGCCCGGAACTGCATGTGGAGTCCCTGTCCCAGGGTCGAAGGATTTGCTTTCCTCATTTCTGCCCCCTAGCGGGCATCTGGGCAAAGCTACACTTCCTAAATTCAATGACTCGGAGTTTGAGTACTCTGCAGTGTATAACTTTGCACACAGCACTGAATTACCCAGCCTTCCTCAGGAAAGTAAGCAGGAGGATGAATTCAGACTTTAAATCTGAGATTTAGCAGACCTTAAATATGGAGGAAACTCACTGTTCTCACCTTTAATTTATTTTTAAAAACAATTTTAAAAACTTTTTTAATGTTTATTTTTTGAGAGAGAGAGAGAGTGCAAGCGGGGTAAGGACAGTGAGAGAGTGAGACACAGAATCGAAACCGGGCTCCAGGCTCTGAGCTGTCAACACAGAGCCTGATGCGGGGCTCAAACTCAAAGACCACGAGATCATGACCTGAGCCGAAGTCAGACGCTTAACCGATTGAGCCACCCAGGTGCCCCTAAAAACAAACTTTTTAATGTTTATTTATTTTTGAGAGAGAGAGAGAGAGTGACAGAGAGACAGAGTGTGAGTGGGGAGGGGCAGAGAAAGAGGAAGACACAGAATCAGAGGCAGGCTCCAGGCTCCGAGCTGTCAACACAGAGCCCGATGCAGGGCTGGAACCCACAAACCGCGAGATCATGACCTGAGCCTAAGCTGGATG